AGCTTAGAGAAGGTTTTAAAGTCCATTGGCATCTTCTTAACATCTGTAAACAGGTAAGTTCTGTTCTGGAGAGATTCTGGGTTCTCAGTTGCATATCGGGCTCATGGTGTCCTTGGCATCCGCACCACATGGGACCAGGGCTTCTAGTTATCTGTGGGTACCTAGTAGCCCCCAGGATGGACCCAGGGGTAATGCCAGCTGTGCTCCTGTTCTAGTTGCTCCTCCATCCCATGTTCTCCATTGACCCTTTACTAGTCAGCATCCCCTTGGTCATGAAATACAGAAAATCAACTCAGACTGGACCAGGGAGAATGGGAATTTATTAGCTCACTAACCTGAAAAGCCCAGAGGCCTAACTAGATCCAGGGCTTCAAAACATGTCGTTGGTACTTGGTCTTTCCCTCTCTTTTTCTCCGTTTCTCAGCCCTGTTCGCCTCTGAATTCATAGGCCTCGTTGTGCTGTGATCCTCAGAAGCTCCAGACATGCATCTTTGTAGCTCAACCACACACCAAAAAGAAAGTGTATCTTTCCCACGGGTTCCCAGGAAAGTCTCAGGTTTTGAACCTCAGTGGACCACCTCAGGGCACACATCTGGCCCCAAACCAATGGCTACAGTCACCTGCTTACCCTACCAAAACCACATGGCTTATGAGGGGTAGAGGGATGATTCCCCCAGGGGCAGTTGAGCTGCTATTACAAGAAAAAGAACAGATGCTAGAAAACCAAACACAAGAAATATTCATTGTATTGAACTTGCTAAATGCAAAAGGAAGAATTTCCCAACTATTGTGTCACTTTACCCAAGAGCGTTTCCTGGATAGGAGGGCAACGTATGTGAAGAAAGGACCTTAGAAAGGTTAGGGCCAAGGAGCTTGACAAGTGTCTTATTTCTACTCTTCTGTCTCTGGACAGTAACCGGTACCTTATAGAATTTCTTGAAGTTGGAGGCGCCCTAACACTCCTGGAAACACTGGGGATGGAGAAGATCAAAGAGGAGGACAAGAAGGAATCCAACTCTGGCAGGAAGTACAAGGAGCTCATTTGTGAAAGCTATGGTGGGTACTGCATATGGCAAGGGCGCACTCCCACGTCTGCCTCGGGGCCCAGGGGAAGCGGGGGCAGGCCCAGCACACACACACACACACACACACACACACACACACACACCCCGCAGGAAAGCTGCCGCGGAACCGCTGCACCGCCAGCACTTTGTCCAGGGGACTCCGTTAGCTCCCACGCAGATCGCCACCCCCAGACCCAGATTTATGATTTTCCTGATTCATCATCTGCTCAAATCTTTCTGCTGTGGTTTTGGAAACACTTTTTCCATTTTAAATATATCCTTTTGCATGCATCTATTCAACAAAGATTTATTGAGCCATTGCCTAAAATCCTTTGTGAAACCGAGTTATGAATAACTCTAGAAATAAAATTGAAATAAAATCATTGAATATGAGTGCTAGGTATATGCTAAGGTGCTGGGAACACGAAGATGAATAAAATACAGTCCCTGCCAAAGAGCTTACAGCGTGGTGAGAACGGTATATAATCCGGGATTTTCAGTATGATCCATCAAGTGCTCTGACTAAGGCGAGTAAAGGAGATGCCATCCCCTAAGCATCCCTTTGTCAAAGCACTTCCTTCATTGCACTTTGTTGTTGTTGTTGTTGTTAAACCTCACCTGAGGATATTTTTCCATTGATTTTTTTTTTTTAGGGAGAGTGTAAGAGAGAGGGAAAGACAGAGAAAAAGATAGATGTGTGCACATCGATTGGTTGTCTCCTGCACGAGCCCTGACCAGGGCCTGGGCCGGGGAGGAGCCTGCAACCAAGGAATCGAACTCGGGACCCTTTGGTCCACAAGCCTACGCTCTATCCACTGAGCCAAACCAGCTAGGGCCCTCGTTGCAGTTTAATCATAGTTCTCTGTGTGTCCCCCATGGCCTCTCTGAGCCTTAAGATATTTATCCATAAAATGGGACTAACACCTCCCTCTCAATATCGTTTCTAGGATTAAATGACATAGTATTTGTGAAAATATTTTGTAAATTGCTGAGCACTTATATTAGTTATCACATAGCCATCAAAATGCATGTTTTTTATTTGTGCATTTTGCAGAGCCATTTTAAATTTAGAACACTTTGATAAGCTGAGATGCCTATACTGAAACCAGCCACATAGCCAGAGGTGAACAAGACAATGATGCAACATGAGGCTAAGCCTCAACTTTGCTCTGATTGAACGGGCTTGATTAAATACATCTTAATCCTATTACCTCAGGTTGTGTAATCTTTTTTAAAATAGAATTTATTGGGGTACAGGTTTCAAGTGTACAAGTCCATAAAACACCATCTGCACACTGCATCGTGTGCCCCTCGCCCCAAGCAAAGTCTCTTTCCCTCCCCATTTTCCCCACCGTTGCCCACCTCCAGCTACCCTCCACCCCCCTTTCCCTCTGGCTGTCACCACACTGTTGTCTATGTCTATGTGTTATACATATGTTTTTTTGCTTAATCCCTTCACCTTCTTTCATCCAATGTTATGTAATCTTGAGTGAGGATTGTTTTCACAAATCCCTTCCAATTTAGCATTTCCTCTCCTTTTTGCTCAGGTGTACGATCCATAGCAGAATTTTTGGCAAAGTCTAAGTCAGAAGAGACCCAGGAGGAAGTGCAGGTTCTGCTGGATTCTTTGCTCCACGGTAATCCCAAGTACCAGAATCAAGTGTACAAAGGTCTGATAACGTTACTGCCCTCCGTGTCCCCGAAAGCTCAGCAGCTGGCCCTGCAGACGCTCCGGTGTGCCCAGGTGAGCCCAGGCTGCATGCTCCCGCGGTTCTGACTCACACGCAGTGACCTTACAATCACCTTCCACAGTCGCACTCCACGCAGGCATGAGAAACGGAGCTCAGCCTCCCACCGCACGCGCGCTGTTCAATCAGCGCTACTGCTAGAAGGCCAAGGCCGGGCAGAGAGTTCACGTCTCCCGTCAGGGTGATTTGTCCTGTTTACTTAAGGATCAGAAAGATGCTGGCAGACTTAAAAGTGTTTGAGACAAGCCACAAGGATGATGAAAGGACTGTAGAAAAGATTAAAGGAGTCAGTTTGATAGGGAAGGAATCTCGGTGCATTTGTAGATAGTGTGTAAGTGAAGAGGCCAGATCTCGGGTGCTTGGGGAAACTCCTTTATTTCCTGGCCTCTGCCTTCCTCTCAGACAGTGCCCTGGAATTGGGGCATGGTCAGATTTGGGGCATGGTGACCACGGGAAGACACCGTGCCTCGTAGGAGGGAATTGGAGACTCAAAGAATAGTTTTGAGATGAGCCGTCAAAAGCTCTCAAAACAGCTCTAGGATGGGCAGGAGGCAGGGGAACAATTAAGGGGTCAAAGAGATGGTAAGGCCTGAACTGTGGCAGTGGGGACACAGGTGACCAGGTTGGACAGACATTTTGGAGGCAGAATGCATGGGACTTGGGGCAGTAAAAGGAAAGGAGTCAAAGATGACACCCAGCTTTGGACTTAGACAGCAGGGGGAGCTGTGTGCCACCTGGAGAGTGGGGAAACCTATTTCATTTGAAAAGAGTTAGGTTTTGACTCGATAAATGTGATGAGCTTTGGTGGCTCCATCTGAGGAGCAGGCCAAGCTGGTTACAGAAGACATAGATAGGTCACTTGTTTAAAAGATACTTAATCCTGAGCCTCCCTCCCATACAATCTGACAGCTCTCAGGCGGCCTTTAAAAATATATTTTATTGATTTTTTACAGAGAGGAAGGGAGAGGAATAGAAAGTTAGAAACATTGGATGAGAAACATTGATCAGCTGCCTCCTGCACACCCCCCACTGGGGATGTGCCCGCAACCAAGGTACACGCCCTTAACTGGAATCGAACCCTTCAGTCCGCAGGCCAACGTTCTATCCACTGAGCCAAACCAGTTAGGGCTCTCAGGCGGCCTTTAATAAAACTTTTTCTTAGTAAACTCCCCAAGTAATTCTGATTCCTAGCTCAATTGAGGAATCACTGTTCAGAATCTAGAAGAGATGCCCATTGGACAGTAGAAAATAAAAGGCTGAAGCTGCAGAGGGGTACTCAAGGTGAGAATAGCAGTTTGAATTTCATGAGCAGAGAAGTGATAACAAACCATGAAAGTAAATAAGATCACCAGGTAAAATGCAAAAAGTAAGAAGAGAGCCCTGGCTGGTGTGGCTCGGTTGGTTGGAACATCATCCAGTACACGGAAAGGTTGTGGATTCCATTCCCAGTCAGGGCACAGGGGCATGTACGGGAAGGCAACGGATTGATGTTTCTCTCTCACATTGATGTTTCTCTCCCTCTCTCTCTCTCTCTCTCTTCTCTCTCTCTCTCTTCCATTATTAAGTGCCTCCTACATGCCAGGCACTGTGTTAGGAGCCCACATAGACTATCTCTTTTTGTCTTCATAATAGCTGATGGAGGCAGATAGTATTATCCCCATTTTAAAATATGTTTTTGTTGATTTAGAGAGAGAGGAAGGGAAAGAGATAGAGAGATAGAAACACTGATGAGGGAGAAACATTGGTCAGCTGCCTCCTACACGCCCCCTACTGGAGATCAAGCCTGCAACCTGGACATGTGTCCTGACCAGGAATCAAACCAGTGAGCTCTTGGTTCCTGGGTCAGTGCTCAACCACTGAGCCACACTGGCCGGGCTGTTATCCCCATTTTAAAGATGATGGAACTGAGCCTAGGAGGGTGCTTCTTACTTATTCAAGGCCACACACTAAGTGATAGGTATTTTTTTTAAGAATATTTCTTTTTTAAATATATTTTTATTGATTTCAGAGAGGAAGGGAGAGGGAGAGAGAGATGGAAACATCAATGATGAGAGAGAATCATTGATCAGCTGCCACCTGCATGCCCCCCACCTGGGGATCAAGCCTGCAACCCGGGCATGTGCCCTTGATCGGAATCAAACCCGGGACCCTTCAGTCTACAGGCTGACATTCTATCCACTGAGCCAAACCATAAGTGGGCATTTAAATCCAACTCTCTTGAACTGCAGAGTCCTTATTCTTTCGACATCTTCTTTGCCTCTTTGAAAAAAAGAACAACCCTGGCTGGGTAGCTCAGTTGTTTAGAGCATCCTCATGACATGCCAAGGCTGTCAGTTCCATACCCAGTTAGGCCACATACAAGGACCAAACCAATGAATACATAAATAAGTGGAACAACAAATCAATGTCTCTCTCTCTCTCTCTCTCAAATTTAAAAAAAAAAAAAATGATGAAAGCCATGAAAGGAAAACAAGAAAAAAAACAGGACTGTAATAATCAAGGAGAAAGAGCTTCATTCACTAAGGAAGATATGATCCGATGGGTTGAATACAACAGAGAGATTAAGTACGGGGAGAACCAAAAAAGGGTCCCAGCAGGAAAAGTGTTGGTGAGTTAGGGCACTGTCCTATGGCAGGAAAAATTAAATTGCAGTAGCCTGTCAGAGGATGAAGAGGAGGCTTTCCTTGGGAAGCTCGGGAGTTAAGGGAAAAGAGCAAGAGAAGACAGAGGGAAGGACAGGAGTCTCAATCTGGGTGAGCTTGAGGATGTTCAGTGCTAAAGGGCAGGAACCAGTAAAGGTTGAAGACGTAGAAAAGAGGGGTTTCCTAACTGGGTGAGGTTCCTCGGGGAAAGAAGATTTAGGATCTTCTCCCTCTCCCTGGCGTGTGCCCGCCCTCCCTCCAGCCCAGGTAGCCAGCTTGCTCCTGCATCCCTGGCAGGTGGCCCGCCAGCCTCGACTGAACGCCTCCCGAGCTGGAGGGTTCAGGGGCAACCTCGGCAGATTCTCAGTCCATTCTTGGCTGCCCAGCCCTGCCCTCCTCTCAAGGGCCAAGGCCCAGTGACTGCCCACTGCCCTCACTCTCCCCATTCAGCCAGGCTGCCTAGCTATTTGGAAGGCTGCTTTTCATTCCTCCCAGATGGACAAGATGTGAAGAGTAACCGCCTTGCCCTTTTTGTCTTGCCAGTCGATCATCGGAGCCACACACCCCAGCATCGTGGACTGCGTGCTGAACGTGCTGCGCACGATGCACCTGGAAGTCCAGTATGAAGGTAGGGGAGGCGGCCGGGTCGGCCCCACGTCACAGCAGGTGGCAGTGAGAGCGGGGCACATTCGCTCTTAAAAGTTCTCTCCTGTACACAAGAGCCTTGTCGAGTGTTCTGGAGAGCCTTGGCCGATGGAAGATGTTGATTCAGGATTGATGGGCAAGTCATTCAGAAAATGACAGTCACCTTCTGTACTTCGAATCAGCCACATGGTGCTTTCACAGTTGTTTAGAATTTGCCGGGGTCCGGAGCTGGCTGGTTCCCAGTCTTAGGTGGTGCTTCCCCTCTAAACAGAAATCACCCTGCGCACTGTCCTTCTTCTGGGAAACGACGCTAGATAATGGTAGTCTTAGTCAGTCTTCATTTCTTGAGGACCCCTGTGGGCCTGCCACCTTCCATGCATCATTTCATTGAACTCTCAAAATAACCACAAGAATGCAGGGCCAAGCACGTATTAGGTGTCTGAATATTCAGATGGGTGAATGGTGGGGGCAGGTATTTTTACGTTTTTCAGGCTGAAGCACTGAAGCACAGAGATTATGTTTTCCGAGGTTAGCCAGCTAACCAGATTCAAACCAGATCTGTCTGGTTCCAAAGCATGTGCTTTTAACGGTAGCACATGGCAGGTGTCTGCAGGATGTTACTCCCTTCCCTGTTCCTATAGTGATTCGGAGAAGGGAGATTCTGTTTTCAACAGGAGGGTTCAAGAGAAAGTGGTGTTTGAGGTGAGTCTTTGAGCACAGGAAGGATTTAGGAAAGTAGACAGAAGCAGAGGAGGGCATTCCGGAAAAGGGAACGGTACACATGAAGGCCTCGACATGGGGAAAAGCAGGCGTATGTGGGGGGTGACAGGGAGACCATTTGGTGGAGGTGTGGTAGAGGTCTTGGTCTAGGACAGTGGTTCCCAAACTTATTTGGCCTACCGCCCCCTTTCCAGAAAAAATATTACTCAGTGCCCCCTGGAAATTAATTTTTTTTAATTTTAATAGCAATTAAGCAGAAAGATATATGTATTAATGTTTCTACCTTTTTCATAAAATATAGTAAAGAAAGGTGTAAATTAGAAACATTGAAGTTTGAAATTATGAAACTATTTATTGAACTCAGAATAGAAAGGTAATACAAAAAAAGTTAAAACAAATGCACCTGTGGCCATCACCGCCCCCCCCCCATCGCTGCAGCGCCCACCAGGGGGCGGTAGCGCCCACTTTGGGAATCACTGGTCTAGGAAGACCTAGGAAGGTAGGCTGGGACCAGATTACAGAGCACCCTGAGTCCCAGATGGAGCAGTGGGCACTCCCTCCAGTAGGCAGCATGGAGCCATTGGAAAGTGGACCATGAACAGGTGAACGGCAAGGGGAAGCACTGTGTCAGGAAGAAGGCCTGGGTGTGGTCGGCCAGGTGGCCAGAGCCACAGGGAGGCTTGAGGCTGGAGGCCAGTTGGGAAGCCTTTCGGATTGTCCATACAACAAAATGGGAACGTACTGATCTAGCTGAATACCGGGCCCCAGAAAGAGAGAGAATGGACAAGACAGAACTGCCTGGGTGTGGAGAATGAGGTGGCATAAGCAAGGGGGCATGGGCAGGGCTGAGGAGGCCAGGACAGCGAGGAAAGTTCTGGGCATCGTGCATATCGGGACTCCTGTGTCCAGAATGACAGGCTGAGCCCCAGGTCCTAGACGTCTGGGAGGGGCAGAGGAGCAGGCAGGTTCTCAGGTTCAGGCGTGCAAGTGAGAGTCAAAGATCAACAAAGGTCTGAAGGCTTACGTTCAATATCAATCATTTTTTGGAGGCGATGTGGAAAGAATGTCAGGTGTGTTTTTCCTTCAGCGGCACTGTCAGTTTTGTACTTGTTTGACCCCTGCAGGTATGTGTGGGTACGTGGGCCTTGTGTGTTGAGAAATAATGCTGTGTTGAAATTGATTTCCAGCTGGAGCATTCTCCTAGCTGGGGAGCAGTTGCCAGTTGAGGGGGTGGAGTGGTAGAGGCACCTAAGTGAAGGTCAGAAGGTTGTCGCTGGCATTGGACAAGGGAGTGACCGGGCAGCTTAATGTTGGGAAGCTTAATCAAACAACCCCGAGGAGACCGAAGTGGGTGACAGCGAGACCTCCCTCCCCCAGCCCACTTCCCCGTGGCAGTGTGACCACTCCCACTGAGCCACCACTTCGCAGCTTAAGCGTTTCCGCTCTGAGGTCTTCCCCGACCTGCCTTCCGCCCCTGCCCAAATGCAGCCCTCCTTCCTTAGTACCACCCTCAGCCCTCCTCCCTCGAACCCCCCTCCATCGGTGCAGTTATCTCCAGAATGGTAACTGCCCTTTACATAGCCTGCACAATTCCAGTGCACCTGTCATCCTTTTTGTCCTCACGTCCTCCCCGTCGTCCCCAGCATACGTTAGGTCTTCCGTCCACTTTTGTTGAAGGAATGAGGGCAGGAGGTGGGAGTGCTGCGCATGCACACCTTTAGTGACCACTTGCCTATGTGCCTTTCGCTCCCAGACCTGTGAGCAACCTCAGACAGGGGCTGGGCTGACTCATCTCTTTTTCCAGCCCGGGGCCTAGGACATAATGGGTACTCCGTAGAAGTTTGTTGAATACATTTATGAAAAGTGGCTTAGCTTCATGTATGCTGATGAAGCCCTCCTGAGTTGGAACTGGCTCGGCTTCCTCCCATATCGGGCCCAGCTTAGAGTCCCTCTGCATTTATTTCATGACAAGGACCGCTGTGGCAGGCTGAGCGTGAAGCTTTATCACTGCCTTTTTTATTTGGTGTGTGCTCATGTGGGCACAGTGAAACTCTGTACCTCAAAATAATTTCAGAAATGCCCAACTCATAGCACGTGCCCAAGAAATGTCTGCTGAATAAATGAATTGTTCTTTTTCACCGGGCCCTTCAAAATAGTCTTCCTGTCACTCGGAATATAGAGAATGCAGATGGAATGACTGTCCACTAGAGGGAGCAATTTCACACGGTCGAAGCCGTGGAGGTTGAGGAGAGAATACTGTATTCGGCCTCTCTCCTCCTCCAAAGACAGGGCAGGGGAGCTCGGACAGGTCTGAGCTGTGGTTCTAACAGTGGTGAGCGGAGAGGGCCAGACATGACTCTCTCTTGAGTTTGAAGACGCCAAATTGCAAGACCCAGACGAAGCTTCCCTTTACCCGAGGGTGATGGCAACAGCCAGGACAGAGAAGCCTGTGACCGAGAGGAGCGGGTGGCATAGCTGAATGGACTGACCGAAAAGGGCAGGGTTAGTTAGTGTGTGTGTTTGTTTGCACTCAGAGACACTATTTCATCAAAGTCGGGCAGGACGATCTGTTGAGAGGTCAGTGGTCAGCGTCGAGCATGAATCCGCACACACTCCCACAGTGAGCTGCAGGCGATGGCCTGGCGAGTCTCACGATTCGGGGCATTTCCCCGGCTGAGCTCACAGAGCCTCCGGAACCAGCCTCCAGACTGTCTTTATCTGCTAGCTTGTTTTTTAAAAACAAATATTGATTGAACATGTGTGCTGTGCCAAGTACTATGCCAAGTACTTGAGTTCTGAGTTTTCTTTGTACTGAGGAGAAAAATTAATGGTTTGGGAGGAGAGAAGGGAGGATGTGCCCTCTGCCTCCCACGCTGTGTGTGCACGGAAGTGGGGGTGACATCCTTCCCCTGGGAAGGCCACAGGGAAAGCTGGATTCTCAGGCAGAATCTGTGAAAACAGGGCCAGGAGAGGCTGAGGGGGCCTGGTGACTCCTTCCAGAGCCGTGTGTGTCAGCGGTGGAGGAGCCAGACCACGGCCTCACCTCCTTCTCTGTTGAGAACCCCACCTTCCCGCCTCCAAACCTGCCTGCCAGCCTGCCTGACCCGCGTTCTCTGCTCTTCCCCATGACATGGCAGTGTCCCTGTTCCATCACCTCTCCTTCTGCTTGGTCTCTCAGACTTCTCTCCGCAGCCCCCTCCCGTTCCTTCTGAGCACCATCTCCATTGACATGCAAACGTGCTCTGTATCTCCCGTTTTACCGAGTCTCCTTGGTAATCTGTGGATTAAAAGAGATTTCAAAGACATGTCCTCCAAAAAAGGTAAAATTCAGTCAGTGTTTGAGGATGTATACCCCTCCTGGACCCCAAGTTCCCAGCTACTCATTTTCCGGTTTTCTTCCTGCTCGATCTCTTACTTCTGACCCATTGGTCAATAGCAACTCACTCTCTTCTCTTGGCTTCTGTAATACCACTTCCAGATCTCCTCCAGCCTGCTGGTTTTGCCATTTTTGCTAGTTTCTCCTATTTCTCTACCAGCGTACTTCAGCTGGGTTTCCTAAAATTACCTTTCCCTCACACCTGTCTCAGTGCCCCTGGAGGAGGGTGGTTAGGGAGCTCTGTGTTACAGGTTCTGAAACACCCTGCCCTTTCAGATTCTTAAAAAAGCCTGGAGGAGCCCTGGCCAGTGTTCTCAGTGGTTAGAGTCTCGGCCTATGCACTGAAGGGTTGCAGGTTTGATCCCCAGCCCCAGTCAGGGCACATGCGGGAGGCAACCAATCACTGTTTCTCACATCGATGTCTCTCTCTCTCTCTCTCTCTCTCTCTCTCTCTCTCCCTCTCTCCCTCTCTCCCCCTTCCTTCTACTCTCTCTAAAAATCAGTGGGTGATTCTCTCTCATCATTGATGTTTCTATCTCTCTCTTCTCCCTTCCTCTCTGAAATCAGTGCAAATATATTTTTTTAAATCAATGGGAAAAATATCCTCAGGTGAGGAATAACAAAACAAAAAGTTTTTTTAATTAAAAAAAAGAGTGGAGAAGGAAACCTGTGCACCAGGCAGTGGCTTTCTCATCCCCACGGCAAGAGATTCTGACTGTCCATTGTTGTCTGACCTTCACTTTGAAGGAGAAATAACCAGGGAGAGGGGACTGACGTCTTCATCCACTGATTCCGGAGGAGTTTTTTGTTTTCAGATACTTTGAAGATTTTAGAATTTCTTTCAATGATGAGCCCACCTAACCTAAGCGAGCCAAAATTTAAGGGAG